ATTAGAGGCGCTTTGCGTTTCAACGCATGCTTCTTCACATTCTTTTCTAGTTTTGAAGTTGTTGGGATTTCCAAGGCAGCCACCATATGCGAAACGAATGCATTTTTGAGCTGCGGAGTCATAGCCATAACTACAATAGAATATTTCTCTTATGTGCATACTACTACATAATCTGAAAACAGTACCGTAATTCAAAGCCTTTGCATGGTCCAGGTTCTATTGGTGATGAACATTGCGAAAAGAAATGGGCATCTGCTGAAAATCGAATTAATTTTACAAAGAATTTTGGCATATTTGATCTGAAATATCTTACCCATGGTGATGAATATGAGAACAACAGCAATTGTTTCCATTGTATTCCTTTATTCACAATATTCCAGCTTCTCAGGATTTTATATGATTTTCTGAATATCAAATTACAATTTCGCATGCTTTACATTATTTTGACGACCGTCATCCGTTAATGATTGAAAACCTTTCTAAACAGATGCTGCTGCAACCCAATATGATCATATGAGACATGTCTCTACAATAGTAGCAGTAAAAAAACACCTTTAAGCTTTCTTAAATTGAAAAGAAAAAAGGATTTTCATAATAGTCATTCAAAGAATATAATTTTCTTTCTTGCCCCGACAAACAGAGTTACTCTTAGAAAAATCTTATGGCATTTTCATCCCTTTAAGCTACCACTCTTGTCAAAAACTTGTAACGAGAGGTTTAGAATATGTAGCCTCGTATACAACGCTGACTTTACTAACATTGGGTACTTTAGAGGAGCAATCATCGTACACATTGCTTAATTACGAGATTATCGTCACAATAAGGCTATTAGATTTCTGAGTTTTTTGGGAAGCACTGTCAATCTCCTATATAATGGTAGTAACTTCAAACTTTACAAGAAAATCACAGTAATTGCAATTTATAAAATGCGCCACACCGCTGAAGAAGGATCGCTTATGATTTATCACCTTTCTTGCTGTAATAAAAAGCGGCAAATTTGTTAGAACAAACTTAATGTACGAGGAGACTGGAGGAGAGGTGATTTGTTCAAAAGAGTAAGGGTTTGCAAAGGCTCGTCATTTACCTAGGTAGTTCTATATTTATTTAAAATGCAATTATGGATTTCAAATTTTGATGAATTTCAAGTTTCCTAATCCTCGTGAGGGTGGTTCGTCATCATGACAAAACTTAGGAAGGACAACACTAAAACAGCTATCCGA